ACATTAATACAGTAAACCAAGCTGCTTGTAGAATGGAGAGAGGTGTTGGGTAGTGTGCATTTTACACTAAAAATTAGCTCATCAAGCTAATATTAAGCATTTAGAAATTCTTTGCAACAAAGTCTTTGTTCTATATGATAGGTTTTTTCTGCAGCTATTACAGATCAGATATCTTTCATAGCATTTGACAATTAGTTTTAAGGGATAAAGAGCTTTTTTTTTTTTTTTTTTGAGATTTAAAAGCAAGATTTATTATAGTCAAAGACCATGCCAGAGTGGCATGGAGGGGGGCTTCCGAGAGAGAAAAAAAACCCAAGTGTTCTGTGGTAGTTGGGGTTTTAAGCACAATTTTGGGAAAAAACTTGACTGTCCGATTGACATTCAGTTACAAGGCAGGGACAAAACCCATCAAAAGACCTTATTAACAGTCCTTTATCCTATCTGGCTTGCTCATGATAAAACAAAAAAACCATCCATAAGAGATAGGTAACTTGTTTTCCAAATAAACTGAGTTCAGGAGGATGGAATCACCACCCCCTTGGAATTCTCATGGTAAATTTGGAGATTCCTAAGGAAGGAGGCTGGACATTTTGATCTTGTTAATGTTGTTAACTTTTTTGGGGGAAGTAGGTACTCTGCACCCCAAATTCCACTGGGACCACGCTGACTGGCTGTTAACCCATCTGACTTCATGCTGAAAAGGGGCAGCATTGGGAAGGGCAGCCAAGACAGGGTTCCAGCAGGAGGTGGCTTCTCCAAGGGAACACAGTGCCAGCTTGCAGAAACTGCTTCCCAACGAGGTTTCATGTGCATGGCCACAGGACAGCACTTTTCTTAGGTCCTCGAATAATGATTCTATCCTGTGAGTTTAAACTGCTTGTTAGAGAGTTTTCTCCAGACTTGATTATTTCTAAATATTTCTTCATTCTTTTGCTAGAAAATCATTTTAGATGTAAATACGTGCCTACAGAACATCATTAACTAAAGTATATCATTTAAGTAAAAGTATTTGTTAAAATTCTACTTCATTGTGTCTTAGGAGTTGCTCCTATGGAAATTACTAAAGCATCCTCAAAAAAAATTGCCAACACCTAAATGTTTTCTTTAGTGGCTACTCTTAATTAATCACACTAATGAGGAAAAAAAGCCTTGATGTGATTAGCCCTACCTATAGATAGAATTATTTGTCATACATTGGAGATTAATTTGTGACTCATAGCCTATGTTCAAATTTAAATTTACACAATTTAAGCAAATACATTTATAAACTATAATAATTAATTAACCCATTTGTCCATTTGTTATTCAGGCACCACATAGACAATGGAATACATACTATAAAACGGAGAATAGATCATTTTTATTAGTCTGAATAATTGGTAAATGCCTTTAAATCCATTATAATAGTCAGTTTATCACAGCATCTGTGGGGAGCAACTCGGACTAGACTAAGTTACTGGAATTAAGACTTATTCTGTGCATCTGCTCTCCCACAATATGGCGCTGAGAAGGGAGTAACAACTTCTACGCAGCTGCCTCTCGCCAACTTGAGTGATGACCTGCAGGAGCTGATCCTGCTCCTGATTGGAGGAGAGCAGCGTACTCGGCGTGTGGGTAGCAGAGTTGGGATTGGTGGAAGAGGACTATAAAGGAGGAGAGAGACAACATGCACCAGGAACACCTGAGGAACATCTGAGCAGCCCCCGAGAGAGCCAGCCGGCGGTGTGCCACTCCCCCGCGGAAGTGGGGAAAGTGGCAGGGGGAACCGCCCTTCCACGGAGGTGGAAGGGACGGTAGCCAACCCGGGAAGAACCAGCAGCAAACCCGGGAAGGGCCGAGCAGACAAAAGAACAGCGCAGGGTCCTGTGTCGTTCCTCCGCAAAGAGGGGGAGTGACAAGCATCCATCATGGTCCTTAAAATTACATTGATTATATTCTGTAGACTCTGATGCATTAAGGATTTAATTGTGTGTTATTATTTTATTCTTTGAGCCAAATGGTTTTGTAGAGGATTCTAAGATATTTCATTGAACTGTTTCCGTTAAGCTGAAATGAATCAGGTAAGTAATCTAAAGAAAAGAAGAATGGAGTAGTATGAAACTTGCACACCTAAGCTCAATGTTTGATTAAAGCAAATGAATTCCTTCAGATTCTCACTTTCTCATAGAAAGCTATGTGAGTTAGTTATGTGCTTTTTAAATAAGCTAATTTCCTAATTATATGTGCATGTCCTATATTATACAAAAACATACATGCATACATTTAGATATGTGTGTGTATGTGTGTAATTTCTTCTCATCAGTTTTTCTGTTGACCTGTGACACTTCAGGGACAGAATTCATTGTTTTAATACAACTTGCACAATTTTCTTTGGCTTTTTTTCTCCCAACACTTGTTTTCCCATGGCCTTTTGAAGTTTTGTTTTGTCTACTGATAGATGCAAAATTTTGTATTCTGTTTTGAAGTTATCTCTTTCCAAAATTATGTGTTATTACCAATGTCCTTTCAAAATATATTGTAGCAAAATATCAAATACTGTTAGGAACTGAAGCTTAATTCTTAAATTACAAAGAAAAGGGGCCGGTGTTTTGATGTATGTGGTTAAGCCTCTACGTGAAACCCCTGCCTCCCATATCAGCGCTGCAGTTCAAATCCCAGCTGTTCCACTTCAGATCCAGTTTCCTGCTAATGTATCTGGAAAGCAATGGAAGATGGCCCAGCTGGTCGGCCCCTGCCACCCATGTGGGAGACCCAAATGGAGTTCCAGGTTCTGTGTGCTTGAGTTTGCTCCAGCCCAGACCATTGCAGCAATGTGGGGTGTGAACAAGTAGACTGAAGATAAGTTAGCACATTGATAGGACCTGTAAGATAATAAATACTTTCATTGACTCTAAGATAGCCTCAATTCTTAAGTTCCACTGCTATTTTATGCCACAACAACAATGGAAAAAATGTTTCCCACTAAAGTAAGGACAATATTTTCTTAAATTTAGATATCCTATTTTAATTACCAAAAGCACTTTTTAAGCTTAAACAGATTATTTTTGCGATTTTTAATCATTCCTGACTATTTCATACATACACACACAAATATATAACATATGTCAGAAACTGTATGTGCATGTTAAATCAATTCAGTAAGGCATTCCTAAAACATATTCTCATTCAGTGTCTGACTCTTCCAAGTAACTTTTGAGTTAAGGTCCTTAATGTGTGCGTCTCACACCTTGGTTTGTTCTCTTATGGATGACGCAAATTATCTTTATTCAGAGAGAGGTCCATTATTTTCTTTGCAACGTCATCTAATTAGTTGAACCCATTCTCTAAATTTTGATGCTACTTGTTCTCAACCCTACAAGAAGTTGTCAACAGATTTTTAAGACAAAAATCAGGATTCATTTCATCTCTTTCTCCATATGCTTCTTTTTTTCCCAAATAAACCTTTTATTTAAGGAATACAAACTTCTTGCATTTCATCAATACAACTTTAGGAACATAGTGATTCTTCCCACCATACTCGCCCTCCCAACCACACTCCCACCCCTCTTCCTCCTTCCTCTCTTATTCCCAGTCTTATTTTTTTAATAAGATCTATTTTCAATTAACTTTAAACACAGAAGAATATAATAAGTAAAGAGTTCAACAAATTGTATGACAAAGAAAACTATTCAACAGTTGAGACAGGTAATGGTTAAATTAACAACAGGATTCACTGTGCACTAACTTCCCGTGCAGGATCTCTGTCCTCAAAGAGTTGTATTATGAGAGTTAATAGTAAAACTTGTTCTCAAAGATGTACTTCTTTTTAGTAAATTAAGTGGAGGATATTCTTATAAGTTATAGCTATATCTAAGTGTTTGCAAAATATGTATCATTCTTGGGTTCCTCTTTAAAGTTAATTAAGTTTCCCAAATGCTTCTTAAATGTTTTGATTCAAATTTGAAGGTTTAAACATTGTCCAGTCAAGTCACAATAAATCATAACCAAATTCAGGCTTATATAAACCTTGATGGCTATGCTGCTACCTATGACTGCCACCTGATGAACAGACATTAGAAGAAGCCATCAAATGTAAACTATGCTCACTGTTATTGTGATACAGGATGAAAATAACTGGTATTTTAGAATCAGTGAAATGTATTGAAATTCACAGTGAAAATAATTAAAAATTTTGAGCTGTAATCAATGGCATTTGTGTCTAATGTATAAAATATATAATGTGTCTATATATACATATACATTATTCTGAACAATAAACTTTTAACAGAGACATGTCATTTATGTAATCCCTAGATTTTTGGTACATAAATTTGCTTGTATTTATTAAGATATTTTAGACACTTTAGGTATGTTCTGTTGAAAAATTTTTTCATCAATATCTGAAGGGTTATGTTCATAATAAATTATGTGTTGAATACCTCTAACTTGCTATTTTATGTGCTTTCACATATATGGTGAAAAATAAGTAGTCAGAGTTAAGTCAGTTGGCATGGTAGTTATGACATCGGTCAAGATACCTGTATCTTATATTGGAGTACCTCAATTTGAGTCCCAGCTCAGGCTCCCAGTTCTAGTTATCTGCTAATCCAGACCTTAAGAAACAGTGTTCATGGCTCAAGTAGTCAGATCCCTGCTCCCCTAAGGGTGACCTGGATTGATTTTGAGCTCCTAGCTTCACCATGGCCCAGCCTTGATTGTTACAGAATTTGGGGATGGAAGATTCCTGTCTCTGTCTCTGCCTTTCTCGTTCTCTCTGTGTGTGTGTGTGTGTGTGTGTATGTGCGTGTGTCTTCCTTTCAAAGACAATGAAATAAATAATTTTTTAAATAATCACATGTTATTTATGCAATATTGTGAGTCGTCTCCACTCCATTCAATGTGAATGAGCATTTTGATGATTAAACTGTGCTTTCTCAAATTAAAAAGTAATAGATGTTGGACATAAATAAATAGGTGAATAACGAACAACTGAATATTTCTTAATTTGCATTCCACCTTAGGTCCCATAAGCAGTGTTTTGGTGAATAAATATGGCAGCCGGCCGGTGGTGATGGCAGGAGGTTTACTATGTTGTTTGGGAATGGTCTTGGCCTCCTTCTGTACCAGTGTAATACAGCTTTACCTCACTATGGGATTCATTGGAGGTAAGCCAGGCTTTCTTTTCAGCTTATCTTCTTCTTAATACTTCTGTTGTCTAAAGAACCCTATGAGGACGAACAACAGAAATTCTTGATATTTTCTGTGACTTTACTTTCTATAAACAATGGTGTTTTAAAGTATATTCATCTAGTGCATTGAAGTATATTATCAAATGCTAAAAAGAAAACAACTTAGGCTCGTTTTTAGTTGCTCATTTTTTACTCTTCTGCTAGTTCAGATTGTATGGTGGATACAGACTTTCTGGAGCTAAAAAAATGATTTTTTTTAAACTTAATTTTTTTCTCATTCCCACTGAGAGTATCTGTCTGACTTGTAAAATGTTAAAATTGTGCAAACAAATATTTTCTGGTTACAGTGATTTAATTTCAACAATAAAATTATTATTGTCTGTGTTCTGGTGAACATTAGAGCTCTTTAACATTTCCCTTCTTTTTTACCCAAATGATTCTATTTAAAAGCCAGGTAAGTCACATTTGAAACCAACACAGATATTTAGAATGACAGGCTGTCACTTCGTTATCATTGTTTCTCATACATAGTGTCTTTTTTACTCAAACCGACCTGAATATATACATTTGGAAATTATTATTTCTGCTGTTCTGCATAATAAATTGCTTTTAAAAAGTCTACATTCAAATTTTAAGAAAAATCTGACCAAAAAAATCAGACGTAAATATATAATGAGACTGTTTCTCTGATGTGCATAGATTAAAAGGTGAACACATTTCTCATTAGTGTAGTATATTAGTTACACACTCGTATATCATTTGGTGATCCAAAATACATATATTAAATCGTACATTACATTCTTGCATCTCTACAATAATAGAGATGTTAAGATCTTTCTCTACGCAGCATCTCCTCCTCTTTCTGCCCTTTTGTTATGGCAGGTCATTTATTGATCATGTAAATTAAACCTTACATCTAAGCATTGTCATGATGGAGAAAACACTGCTTTCCTTGTGTGGACTTGATAGTGCACTGGTCCACAGGAGTCATGACAGGTTTACAAATCAGTATATTTAGAGAGAAGATGGTTTCATTGTCCCTGTACCAGAGACACCATTAGCAGTATTGTTACTTTAACATAGAATCCCATTCTTTGAGTCTGGAAGACTTTCATGCTTCTAGAGCCAACCATTGTGTATACCTATGAGGGATTTCCCATAGATCTTTCTTAGCCAACTTGACTTCCAACTTTGATCTCTGAAAGTGGAGAGATCTAGCTTTTAAACCTAATGCTGCACATACTATCTTTGTGGTCATGGGTAGATTAGCCCCTTTATACCTCAGCCTCTTTGTCTATAAAATAAAAATCACCTTTTGCTTAGGAAGTTGGAATGTGTAATGAAAAAAATGAGGGTATCGCTTTACAAGTTCCTAGCTGTTTGTTATTTTAACATAAAAATTGAAAATAATAGTAATCATAATGTCATTTAGATAACATCTTACAGTTCTAGAACTTACTTGATTTTGACAAAATGCTTTTGATGTTGTTGTTGTTGTTGTTAAGTGAATTAGAGTTCAGGAAGTCTGAGTATTTTACCCAGTAGTGCAAAATAGGTGAGTAGTTGGGGGCAGATTCAGATCTACTGATTTCAGGTCTTATGTTCATTTTACCATGCCAGAATGGAAAAGGGAGGGACTCTGTTAACAAACACTGGACATCCCAAGGCACAAGAATAGGGGGACGGAAGGTGGGAAAGGAGGAACATAACAAAGAAACTTTATCTTTGAAACACAATACCTAGGTTGTTTTTTTTTTTAATGTTTTAAGCATTCGTTTATTTAAGAGACAAATATAGAAACAGAGAACTCCCACCTGCTGATACAGTACCCTCCCCAGATGCCTGAAACAGACAGAGCAGAACAGGCCGAAGCCTGGAGCCAAGAACCCAATCCAAGTCTCTCTCATGGGTATCCTGGACCCAACTACTTGAACCATCACCTGCTGCCTCTTATTAATACCCGGGTTTTAGTTTAGGATTTTGCTTACAAAGCTACTTGACCATAAGCTGGTCAATTTATTATCTCTAAATCAATCTATTCACACTTAGTCTGCATATCCCAGAGGAGCAGCTGAGACAGAGTTAGAATGTATACTGTTCTGTTTCTATCCAAAGCATTGTCTAGGTTCCTTCTTTAGAGCTTTTAGGAGTCCTCTTATTCACAGAAAGTACTTGCATGAAGGAGTGCAGTACTCAGATCCCTGTGTTCCAGAGCCTGAACACCCACTTTGCAATATCAGTTCCATTTAAGCAATGTAGGAAATTAAACTTATTTCTCTAGTTTCTAAAATATTGTAGAGTAATACCTAGGCTGAGAAGGTAAAAGAAGCAGTTTGTAAAATTCAATTTTATATAGATTTTAGAGGATCTTATTCATTACTATTGTGACTCATTTCTCAAAGGTGATGTTCCAGACTGCCAAGGAGTTCCCTAGGCAGTGGAAATTTCAACTCATATAAGCAATCAGCTTTAGTCTCTGAAATTAAAATATGTTTCAAGCAAAAAAAAATTTTTAAGTAAACACACGTGAATCTGTATACATTAAATGTGGAATGTGAGGTGTGCAGAGAGAGCATGCAATTAATGGCATAAATGTATTTCTCTGTTTTGTTATTTACATAGTATTGAAAGAAATGTCTGTGGGGAGATGTAAGATTGTTAGAAAACATGACCTTTTTAATCTGTCCATATTCCTTCAACTCTGGAGGGAAAATACTCACATTCCTAAATTGTGCTCTTTGTCACAAGAAAGACATCTATTCTGTGTGGTTATGTAAACATATATTAAGAGGATGAGATTAATTTATCTGTGGAGCTAAGTGGTTTTAATAAGAACTAACAATGTCATCCTGTTTGAGCCTATTCTGTGATGGTTCACCCATCAGTAGAAGTTCTTGGTTTTATTTCTGTGGTTTAAAATTAAAGGAATGTGAAATTGTCATAGCAAGTGTCCAGTTTTGAGTACCTTTTTGTTCTTACACAATTATGTTTAGACTTATAATTATCCAAAATTAGTACCCACATTGCACTTTTAGTCCTGCCTACTTGAATGCACATTTGGAATAGTAATTTCTGTTGTGGGTGGCATCCTGTGCTTGTGGTTTTATTTTCTCTTTTGTTTTGTTCCTTCTAGGTTTAGGTTTAGCCTTCAACCTGCAACCAGCCTTAACGATAATTGGCAAATACTTCTATAAGAAACGACCCATGGCCAACGGATTGGCTATGGCAGGAAGCCCTGTTTTCTTAAGTACATTGGCTCCTTTCAATCAGTACCTTTTTAACACTTACGGTTGGAAGGGAAGCTTCTTGATTTTGGGAGGTATACTTTTGAATGCCTGTGTGGCTGGGTCACTCATGAGACCCCTCAGACCAAAACAGACTACTTCTAATTCCACGAATAAGATTGGCATAAGAACAGAAGATTCAAATCTGCAGAAAATCCAGAAGAAAACAATGTCAGAAAAAATTAATAAGTATTTAGACTTTTCCCTTTTTAAGCACAGAGGATTTCTTATATACCTCTCGGGAAACGTCATCATGTTTCTGGGCTTTTTTGCTCCCATCATATTCTTGGCTCCTTATGCTAAAGATCAGGGGATTGACGAGTATTCTGCAGCTTTCTTGCTGTCTATTATGGCTTTTGTTGATATGTTTGCTAGGCCTTCTGGAGGGCTAATTGCAAACTCCAAACTCATTCGACCCCGAATCCAGTACTTCTTCAGTTTTTCAATCATGTTCACCGGAATATGTCATCTCCTGTGCCCTCTGGCAACAGACTACACAAGCCTGGTGGTGTATGCTATATTTTTTGGCCTTGGATTTGGGAGTGTTAGCAGTGTTCTCTTTGAAACGCTTATGGACCTGGTTGGTGCTCCAAGGTTTTCCAGTGCTGTGGGACTTGTCACAATTGTGGAGTGTGGGCCAGTTCTTCTTGGCCCTCCTATTGCTGGTAAGAAGCGTTCTCTTCAAGGAAAGACAACAGCCACTAAATTATTATCCATTAGTAGAGACTGTCTTTACAGTTAATAATGTGTTTGGTAGTAAGACTAATAGCATGAAATGTGGGGAATAGGAATTTGGAGTTTTATTGTGTATTTTAAAGCTTTTCATAATTAGTCAATTTTATACCTAAATTTTTTCAGAGCCAGAATCTCTGAACTTAATTTTTTAATTAAAAATCTTATTTATTTTCATTTTATTAGAAAGAGGGAGATACAGGCAGATGTGAAGAGATCATCCAAGAAGTAGTTCATTTCCCAAATACTGGGCCACACCAAAGCCAGGGGCCCAAGTACTTGAGCCATCACCTGACATCCCACAGTGTGCTTTAGTAGGAAGCTCTGTGGGAAGAATAGCCAAGACTTGAACCAGGAACTCAGATCTAAAATATGGGTGTCCCAAGAAAGAAATGATTCATCACTATACCACATACCTAAACTTCAAAAATTAGTATTAATAATTAGTAACATAATTCTCAAGATTTTTTTTCTCTATCAGTTGTTTTGTACATTTGAAAAATACATCACAAGGATGAAGTTGGGGGAGAGGCATTGTGGCATAGTGGGTAGTGTTGCCCTGCATTTCATATGTGTGCTGATTTGTGTCCAGCTGTTCCACTTCCAATCCAGCTCCCTGCTAATGGCCTGGGAAAAGCAGTGAAAGATGTCCCAGGTGTTTGGGCCCCTGCCACCAACGTGGGTGACTAGGAAGAAGCTCCTGATTTCTGGATTTTCCTAGTCCGGTCCCAGGCTTTGCAGTCATCTGGATAGTGAGCCAGTAGATGGAAGGCCTCTCTCCCCACTGCCCCAAATCCCATAAATCTAATTTCAAATAAACAAATATTTAAAAATAAAGTAAAATGGGATGCTTGTTTTATCATTGGTGATACAGATAAGTTTATATTAAGAGGATTCAAAAAATGTAAACTAATGCTCTACAAAGAACAGAATCTTTTTTTAAATTAGAATACGTGTTTATATCATTTGGAATTTGTTAAATGCTCAAGGAAGGCATATTTTTACATTACTGCAAGAATGAAGGAAAATCATGCAAAGTTAATTTTTGATCAGGTACTTAGATTCCGTATTTTTAAATGACAAAGATTACCTTAGTACTTTCAAATATTCCTATAAATGTAGCTATGGTACATTGTTCAGAAAGGAGACTAGCTACGTATTGGGCACCACCAAAGACCATTTCAAATTGATAAGCTGGTTTGATATAAAGGAAAAATGGAAGGAAGAAAGGGATACAATAGTCAGAATAGAAGCATTAAAATTCTGTTGAATTTCCTTATGATTATTCTTTGGTTTCCTTTTGGATTACAGATGTGAATGCTTTTAGAAGGAAATTCTGATAAATTCATTTCTGCTGTCTGAGCCTGAGATTTCAAGACACATGCATAAATGTATTTTTGAAGTTAAGACTTTTTTTTTAAATATTTATTTAGCAGAGAAGCAGAGCAACAGGGAAAGAAGGAGAGACAGGAATCTTCCATTTGCTGATTGATCACCAAGTAGCTGCAGCAGCCAGGGCTGGGCCAGGCCAAGGCAGAAACTGCTTCCTGATCTCCCATGTGGGTAGCAGGGTTCCAAGCACTTGGTCCATCGTCCACTGTCTTCCCACACCCATTTGCAGGAAGCTAAAACCAAAACAGAGCAGCTGGGGCTCCAACAGCACTGTGATGTGAGATGTCAGCATCACAAGTGGTGGCCCAACCTGTTGTGCCACGACACCAGCCTCTAGGCATTGTTTAGTCGTAGACTTTAAATGCTATAAGTATTAAATTCTTTTTGTGAGACTGTCTTTTTTGAAAAACACTGTACTTGTGTAATGTTTAATTAACAGTGGAGTTACTCAGATTTTTGGCCTGTCCCCTATGCTCAGCATTAACTGCCAGACTAAATGTAAACTTTTCCATTAGAGAGAGAGAGAGAGAGAGAGAGAGAGATCTTCCATCCACCTGTTTACTTTCTCAAAGGGCTGCAATGGCCGGGGCTGATGTGAGCCAAAGCCAGGAGCCAAGAGCTTCATCTGTGTCTCCTACATGGGTGTAGAGGCCCAAGCACTTGGACTGTCTTCTGCCATTTTCCCAGTTGCATTAACAGGGAGCTGGATCAGAAGTGGAGCAGCTGAGACTAAACCAGCACCCATTACAGAATGCTTACATTATAGGTTACAGTTTAACCTGCTATACCACAACTCTGGCCCCTGTTTAGTCAGCTTTTAAAATGATTTCTACATGACACTGAGAAAGCCTTTTTTTGAAAATTCGAAAATACTTACCTATGCAGTATGCAAAACTAAGTTTGAGGATGAGCTGAAAAAATATTTGTGTCATTAAACCTTCAGACTAAATGACCGCAAGTTAATTTTTTGGTGGTCTCAGTATTCAACTGGAACAAGTAGCTTCTTCCCAATAAGCTTGGCCTTGATCATTTGGAGTCAGATAAAAATGGAAAGATGACGTATTCCCCAGGGTCCCATGGACCTTATCCAAGAGGTTGGGTGAAGCTATGTTGGAGATTTCTTAAGAACTTGAAATTTATACGGACCTCAGTGAATGCCCAGGCTCCATCACTTAGGGGCTATGTACACATGGTTCCATTACTCCTCAGAAATGATCCATTGTAAGGATCAAATGACATCTTACAGATAAAGTGCTTAGTGTAGTACTGAGTAAATGTGAGGGCCTGTCAGGAACTTTGTAAAAGCCCTTCGATCTTTCATCTCTCATAAAGGATATAGTTTCCCTCTCTTTATGGAATAGGAAAGGAAGTGTAGGAAGGCTGAAGAAATCTCAGTGTGTGTGCTATAAGTGAATAGACGATTATGTCTGTATCTACATGTATAGATATAAAAATATACCTCTCACAAGTACGTGTTTATAAATATACACACAGATGCATATTTACTTATTTTGTCTGTGTTGCTTTTTATTGGGGAAAATAATTTTCAATAAATATAATGTACTGCTGATATAATGCTGAGAGGACTTGTTCATGCTTTTACTAAGCATATATAGATGTCGTAATCTAGAATACTTTGTCCTTGCTAAAGTCATTTGACATTAATTTAAATATTCGGGGTATTCCATTTGGAGAAAAACTTACTTGAAAATGTTGTTACTTTATGACTATTTTATTATGCCAGCCTAAATGATGTTCTTTGTCTCCTAGGTAAATTGGTGGACATAACTAAAGAATATAAATACATGTACATAGCCTGTGGGGCTGTTGTGGTAACAGCAAGCATTTGGCTGCTGATTGGCAATGCTATAAACTATAGATTGCTTGAACGGGAAAAGAAGATGGAAGAAGCACAGAAGAAGAAAATGCAGGCGCTTGACTCCAAGGAATGTGAACCCTTGCACAAACCCACACATGATGATGAAGTTACTGTCAAGGTTCCACAAACACAGGATGTTCCTCCATCGGAAAGAGAAACCAATATTTAACAAGAGTCACGTCTCCAGTTCAGTGTTTATGACTTTGCTTAGGAATGGGTTTTTGTGTTTTCAAATATTGGAAAGGTTTTTAGCTGAAATGAGGAGTCACAGTGAAGGGTGAAGATGAGACTGCGGCAAGTTTGAAATTAGTTTTAAAAACTTATGTGGGTAGTTAAACGTTGAGAATATGCATACAAAGAAACTACGTGACAGATTTATTTCCAAATACGACTCTGGGTGTGGTGGTTATGATACTAATTTCAAAGTCTTCCAGGTGACTTCCAGTCTTGGTTACTTAGAAAGATCTGCATCCTGAACCCCTGTGTAAGTAGTTAGGAAGATGTTTAACCCCATAAATGAGCCTCTTCTTATTTCATTTTTTATTGAACATTAAGGTATAAAATAGAATTGAAGGGACAAGAATTCTCTCCTGCACACACACACACACACACATTCATATCCAAATGTACAGAGTACCTGGAGAACAAGATAAATAAATTTAAAAAGAATATTATCATAGTTATTATTTTTTAGTAAAAAACAATCCATGGTGACAAAAGAAATGTATATCTGCATGCTACTTTACAGTGTGGATTTTAAACATAAGCACATGAGTCAAAATGAGAGTGACTATAATTTTAAAATACAACAGACTGCTGTAACAAAGCATTTGCATAAACAAAATAAGTTTGATAAAGAAAAGAGAAATCTCAGTTTTAAATCATTGTTACTCCTGGGTATCTTTAGACTTGATTAATCCATGCACATGACTTCCTTGTGGGTGGTGGTGGATCATCAGCACCTGATGTTATAGAGCCCTCAAATAATTTTTAGAATTCTTATCTAATGTGAGAATCAAATTAAACATTCAAATGACACCTAGCAATGAGTTATGTCCAGTGATTTTAAAAGTACTTTAATAATTCTTGATCCAGAAAGTAATAACCAGGGATTTATTTTAACCAGGCCTCAATCTAGATTCAATGTCATACTGAAATATCAAAGTCGAGTATTCTGGAGACATAGTTAACAGGTTTATAAATAGACCAAATGCTCATTTTCCCTATCACATAGCAGTGTCAGAGGTTCCGCTTTGAAGAATTCAACTGCCTAAATGTGGGAGGTGGCTTTAATGAGCCTTCTAAGCTTTTACTCCGTCACTGAAAACGCCTGGTATGATAGGAATGGCAGCATTTGAAAATTCTGCCCTCTCCTGGTGAGGTTTCCTGCTGCCTGTAAACATAACTGAACTAGGAATCTGTTCAGAATGGCTTCTAGAAGTACAGACTGTGTGTGACTTACAGTTGTAAGTTTACTTTTATCGTAATAGCCAGAAGCTTGAAATATTGCACGCCAGATTGCTTTAGCAGTTTCTCATTTTTATATCTATATGAAAACATCTGGGAATCTGAATCACACTTGTATACAGGGGCATATGATAGTTCTGTGCTTTCAAACCTATCAATATCATTTTGAGTGAGAAAGTACTTTCAAACAAGAAAGATATTGTGCATTATGGCTAAAAGTACAAATATGTATATCTATAAATCTAAGATTTAAATTAATATGATTGATAAAAAAGCATTTAGTGCTTAATTATTGCAGTGATGTCACTCTTAAGATGTCAAAGGGAATTTGCTGTTCCTTTTTTATTATTATTATTATAGTAGAAGCAGGTGCTATTTGTAACTCCTGTGAGATTGCACCTGGATACCAAGCTTTCGTAGTAGTTAACATTAAGGATTTGAGTCACGAAATTTATGCACTGATTAAGCATGCAGCTGATATTTAGGAAGCTATATAAAATTCCATTTTTCATTTAATATTGCTTTATGCATATGAAGAAGTATTTGTATTTTTCAATTATTAAATAAAAGAAGATGTGCCAACATCATACATACATAAATCAGGAAAATGTGGCAGGATATGGCTGTTTTTAATTTAGTCTCACCCATCCTTGATTCTTGAATTAGCTGTCTTTTGTTGCTAGTGTTTTCATATTCAACTCTGATTCGTCATAAGAAATACAACAGCATAAATTGTCTAATACTTCTCCAGTTTAAACATTTCCAGAACATGTTTTTAATTCTCTTCAAATATACTTTTAAATTAATATAAATATCAGACCCCAGGGGAAAATAAATAGAAGAGTAATGATCACAGGGTTTTAAGTCTAAGGAAATCTAAGATTTCCGTTTTATCACCTGTCAGTGAAGACCTGCTGTTGGATGCATTCCAGGGGACTTCTCCGTGGAGATTTACTTACTTCCTGATAAGACAGGTCAAAACCAATTCACATTTGCTTTGCTGCTCTTTGGTTATATTCATTAATTCTTCATTTCTAAGACAATGTATTAAGTTATTAGAGAAGAAAGAGAAGTAAATTTGCACATTCAAAGCACATGTGTGTGAAGTGCATAGTCACTTCTGGCAGTAGTACTGTACTGTACAGTTATAAATGTGTTAACTCCCATACATTGATGTTGAAAAGTAAACCACTACACACTTGAAATCAGTGCTATTTACAGTATTCAGAATTGTTCAGGAGTCATGTAAATGAGTCTGCTTGTTTCTTTGCTCCAGCCTATGAACCTGATAGATATGTTGACTTAACAAAGTCTTTCAAAGATTGAGAAAAGAATATCAGCACAGAAGTTTCATTAGTACATAATAATATAAGTGGAGTTTGAAATATAGGTTGCTTTTGTGTCTACAACAATTAGTACTGAATGTATTTTCCTCTAGAAAACAAAAGGTTTTGGATGTTAAAGACAGCATGAAGCATTGTCAGAGTACGCCACTAAAATCCTTGCTAAGCCATAATTCTCCATCCTGAAATTGTGCAGAAGGAGAGTTGTCATGAACTGGTTCCCAAATTATCACTAGCTAGTTTCAGTATTTTCCCATTTGCATTACCTGAGCATCTTATATTTTTCACTATTGGGCCTTAATTATGCCTCATTAACAGGAATTGAACAATGACTAGGGACTTGTCCTGACCCACCCCCTCCCTCTTCCCTGACCCTTTTTGTTTCCAAACAACACACTTTAAGGGATAATGGGTCAGGTTCTAGTGTATTTCACATTGAACGATGTTTTCTCAGCATAAGTTCACATGATTTTTACGTTTCACTTCTTAATTTTCTTTCAAAACACTTTAGAAAAAAATTTCTCTTTTATGTAGAATATTACAAATGTTTAAGAAAACAATAAAAATCAGTTTAATAGGGCAAAAGGATGCAAGTGCGAAGGGAACTAATATGTACATGCCATGCATTTTGCTTACATAATGCCTTTTAATACTCAAACCAAAGCCATGGTAGAAGTTATTAACTTGATATGAGAGATGAATGAATGCAAAAACACACGTTCAAAGAAGCTAAGAAAATTGTTCAAAGCTAAAAGATAGTATAGGACAGAACCGAATGGAAGCTCAGGTTTATCTAAAAGCAGAAAGAGCCCCTAAAAGCTCTTTCTAAAAGCAGAAAGAGCACCATCACACTGCCTCCTAATAGAAGCAAAAGTAGGTAAAATATAGGCACAGAAATGTAAAGCTATGGATAAGACAATTAGGTATAATTGTGGTTTTTGTTATGATTTATTAAGTTTTTATAAGAGACTGCACTTGCTATAGCCTGAATATGTAATATCCAATTGACTTGTTTTCCAGCCAATGCAAATTATTTCAGATATTGATTGTGATTATACAATAGCCATGATTATTTTATTGTGATTTTTCCTCAAAAAATCAGTGATACATGTATATGACTCAATCATAACATATTTTACCTGAAGTTGAATTTAGAAGGTAAATTTTGCTTTTGTGAATAAGTAATTCCCATATTGGTTGTTGTTATAACTCAAAAAATAAAAAAACTTAGTACAGAATATTTGATTTATAATTTTCATAAATATATTTTTAGGATTATCCTAAGTTATCTAAGAAAATGTTATGAAGTATAAATGATTTGGTCCATCTAGATAGTACCTACGTTTTTCATTAGTTAATACAACTTCCCCTACACTAACTTGCTTACAGCTTCCTCTGAACATCTGTAGTATCATTTTCCTCTTGCCCATGTGTTTTAGTGAGAGAACAGGTGTCTGTTTTTGTCGTCTCCCTCTGGAGTTGTGAAGTTCTTAGAATGTGATTCTCCTTCCTTACCTATTTTCGGATGGTGCACATCCAATGCACTGCATTTTTCACAAAGTCATCCATGATCTATCTGGTCTTATTCGCGATTTGCCCTAATGGCCTTATTCCTGAAGCCATGGCCAGGGCCACTCATCTTCACAAATACGAGCACCCAGGTGACAACAGATTTGAAATTTCCTGGTTAAGTGAGGTCCTTATATTATAGAAGATTCTTTTTTGTTAATGTGAGTTTCCTTGTGCAAGACATGCATAAAATTGAATATAATTTTAAGGAATCTAGAAAACCTGATCTTCCTGTTCTTAGCACTTATTGTCCTGGAAATTTCTAATTTTATTCAGGTGCCTGACAATTTTGAGAATTGAAGTTTACTTCAGTTCACAGCACTGTACCACTGCATTTCATCCTGTAGGTTCTGACAGTGCAATGACGTCACTGATACGTCCTTCCAAGTAGATTCTTTCCCACAACATTCACAATAGCAAGCAGCATCAAAGTTACTGAAATTGAAGATCAGAATTGCATTCTTGACTCTGCTCATCTCGTTTTTCTTAATATTTTGATCTCTGTATATCTGTCTGTATTATCTGATATTTGAGATCCGTGTAAAACTAAGAGGCTCAGTTAGGGATCTTTCTGGTACAATTAGAAATTAATAATTTGCTGAACTCACATTTTTATGGTTCTAGTTTCTTTGCTATCAGTTGTATACTATAGACCTTAGCTCTTACAAGGTTGTATGATGTGGTTCATTTTAATATTTATTTCATTCTATTTGAAAGGCACAGAGAGAAAGAGACAGAGGCAGACAGAGGGAGGTATTCCATCTGCTGATTTGCTTCCCAAATGCCTGCAACACCTGGGCCTGGGAAACCAGGTCTCCCACGTGGGTGGCAGGGACCCAGGTACTTGAGCTGCTTCCCAGGGTATGTATTTTCCAGAAGTTGGAGCTGGAAGTAAAGCTGGGACTCAAACCAAGGCCCTCCAACATGGGACCCAGGTATCCCAGGAAATGCCTTAGCCCCTGTGCCAAGTATTCACCCTTGGTTTATTTTAGTTCTCTCTCTCCTACTGCTGCTGCTTTATCATTTCTGTGCAGATCATAAAAGAATTGCTATATTATTGAAAACCATAATTTTAAATGTTTTCAACAGTAAAATTAATATTGCAAAAAATAATTTTCAGGATCGCCTTTCTTCTATAATCATTTTGAAAAATTATTCTTCCTTTGTCTTTTATGATACCTAGGTAAAATTCCTTTTGGCACTTTTTCTTCTAATTATGGACATTTTTGCTTGTTTGGCGGGGTTAGGTACATTTCCACTATTTGTGCGTTCGCCATGTTCTTTCAGTATTCACATATCCTTGTTAGAAAGGTGAGTGGTACTTAAATATTTTTCAGTGATCATAAATTCATGAGCATTTCATCAAATACCTCTTGTTCACATGATAAAGCAGACTTCTTTTGTTTCTTTGTTTTTAATTCAAATGTGGCAAAGTAAACTAGAGAAGCTATATGTGGCACTGTTGTTATTGAACTTTCAGTAAGGCATAAAAAGTGGGCAAAAATTCTTTTGGGAAAAACAAAAGCTTCCATTTTTTATCTCATGAATTACAGGGAGGAATTTTAAAATGTACTTTTTTGACTAAAACTTTGATTCTATTTTTTTTACTTATGCATCATAAAAGTTTTTAGTTAGATTTGTTTTTGTACTTATTCATTAGGGTACAAATTTCTGACATACCATTTAATAAACTTTATTTTTCTATCATCTTCTTTGTATTTCTAACTAAAGTATAAGGATGTCTGGTTTATTAAGACAGGACATATGAGTTGAAATGTTTTATTTGTCGGGCATTAAATAATAGCATTTTGTTTTATATTTTGTTTTTGATATATTTATCTATAAAAAGATACATTTAGTTAATTCATTTCATTTTCAAAAGCATCAGTTTATTTTGTTAGCTATCCCCATTTTTATAGTATAAAACAAGATCACATTCAGAATTTTGTGTTAATAGATATCAGTCCTCTGAGTAAATACAGAGTCGGAGATAGAACTAGGCCTTTTCTCTCCTATCAAACTTTTTGCTCTATTGAACATATTTGAATTTTCCTATTGGTAATGGTGACTTACAGAGTGAATTAAATTTTTTCCCAAAAATATATATTCCAAACCTATGGTTAGAAAATTCTCTACATCACAAATGAATGTATGTCCCCAATAATACTCTGCAACATTATGTTTGCAAACTGAATTTGAAGAATATTTGCTGATTACCACAGCAGGCAATTTTGGTGAATCAAAAATAATGGGATGAATGATTTTTCACCATATATGCTATCAAAGCAATAGCAAATTAATTGAAAACACACCAGTATTGTGTTCTTAGTAATCATGTGTCAGTATTCCATTAATTTCCTATTTTATTTATGTTCATGTTTTAGAATAAACATTCATTTTTTGTTCCCTAAAGTAAAATGCCAGATTATAAAATACATACTGTTAAATTTTTTTAATTACTTAATTTCATGCAAGAAATACTTGCCATAATGTGATTTGATGTGTTTCTTGATGTAAAAAACTAAAGATAGGTTAATTAATAATATGTATCTATTTCAGACAGTTTTATTTTTCAGTAGTTACTTCCCCTAACTAAACAATACCAAAATCCACAGGATATTTCTGGCAACATGTAAGAAGAACTCCTTTGATACTAAAAAAACCATCTATCTCCACCCACATCTTATCTAAACTGATAGTCTTTCTAAATTTTCCTCTTTTCATTCTCTTCCAGAAACAAACAAAAATTTCTCCTGAATAACAGATTCTGGTGAAAGGCAGATATTAGTAGCTCAGTAGATATTAGGGACTCACCATGTAGAAGTATGCAAACACTAATCTGTACTCAATACTTGTTTGTTCATTCATCAAGGATATTTAGCATAAGAATACATCTTAATAGAAGTTTTGATGAACTCATTTGTCAAACTGTAAAATCTTTTATGATTAGGGAGGGCCATAATTACATCTGCAATTTGTGATATATTTAGTTAGTTTCCGTCAAACTGACATCTGTATGTACCAAGTTCTCATTGTCATTCTGACAGGTGACAGGCCTTAACAACTACAGTCAGTGTACCAACTAAATATGTCCCTTTGTTTGAAATGATGACAAAAGTGAGATCATACATTAATCAGATACGAATCAGGTTTAGCAATTCCTCTGTTGAAAATGAAAGAGAAGGATTTTTCCCAAATATTTACTAAAATTGACATACTATTGAAGCTTTTTATGTAAAAACCTCCTTCCCCCAGATACTTTAAACCAGTGTGTTAAATATTTCCTAGAATGAACAATTACCCATTTTGAGGATTTTTTGGAAATATTTTATTTATGACTTACAATCTTTGAAACAATATCTTTCTTATCCCAGCATCAAATTGGAGCATAAAAATAAGCTTGCAATATATAAATATTATGTGTAATAATGTTACTAGTAAAGTGTATGTTAGGACATTGGCAGTAGCCATATCTAGTTAATATTTGGCAAGAATTTTTTATTGAATAGAATTTAGGACTTAATCTGTATGATTATATTTTAAATGTAAGTTACTTTTATGCTATATTTTCTGATTTTTAATTAAGTAAAGTCAAAATGGTAGTTTGTTTGTTCTATAGCTGTCTTAGTGATCATTGAGCAAATAGTCATAACATCACATGCTATATGCTATATCAATGACCCTTACTCTGCTAATGAAATAAACAGAAGGGTAGGTTTGCTTGACATCTAAGATAATTCAATCCAAATAACCTAAATCACAGCTGCACTATTTCATTTGTTAAAAAAAATTAATAAAATGTAAAGGATTCATTTAAATAAATGCCTGTCAAGATTTTTAAATATAAGAAAGAACTATATTCTTTTTGCCTTCTGACAAATGGATGTATTTAAAGTGACTGTGATTTGATTTTGGTATACTTATTTATTTCTGGAGTGTTTTGTATATATAGCAGTACTCACCTTGAGAAATAAGACATGTATAAAAAAATTAACCAAAAAATTTAAGAACTGGCATTTTCATATAAGTATTTTGTTTTAATGAAATAAAATGTAGAATTATTTAAATCAGGAATAGTTAATATTGTTGATGATTTTTAATTTATAGTCAGTTAATTTTGTTTCTACTTCATTTTTAAGCAAATTTGTTTGAGTACTGAATAATTTACTACTTTTAGTTATACTACAGTGTTATATAGACATAATATTGTAGAAAAACCTCTATTGTAGTTTCTAAGTTTCACTACAAAAATTTCAAACCAAATGTTGTATTCTTGTGTGGGAAAACAAATTTTGCCTGTAATTTTCGTTTGCAAATTCATCTCTTTGTTACTAGACTGTGAGCTCCTTGTGGACAAGGATGTTATCTTAGTCATAAGTACAACTCCGATGCCTAGTGAAGTGCCAGATACAGAATAATCCCTTTATTGAAATGAATTGATGGATCTGGATTATTAAAAGACTACTGCAGTATTCTGTGATGTACACTGAGTGTATATTAGAATAATTCTTTGGCTAATTGCAACAGTAAGATATAGAAAACACCTGTAGCATTTTTGTTGTCTAAAATTAATATTCTGTTTTTGAAGAATTCGTTTTTATTTTGTCAAACATTCTATGCAAATACTGAAATATGCAGCCACTAAATTTTTGGTACATATGAATTAGTTTTACTTTCTTTACAAAATCAGAAATGCTCTATTTAGGCTTCCTGGAAATGTTGACAATCATTTTAATGACCAAAGGTGCTACTTATTTTCCAGCCTTGACCTTGATCATAAGTGCTTCTGTACGCTGAGCTTTATTCTTTTTTTTTTTTTTTTGGGTGGTGGTGTGAGAGGGAGATAAATGCAATAAAATCAGAGTATTTTTTGTGTAAATTATGCAATTTAGCACTGTCAGTGTTCCTTTGTACTCTATTGTTACTGTATTTTAATTATTTCTTACTGCTCACTAATTTTTATTGCAAGCCTGTGCTGTTTTCTTAGAAAGTATATGCATATATATTTCTATACTATGTTTTAAAAAACATGTTGCTTATTAAATTAAAATGACAAATAAATATTCATGTTAAATTTTTGAAATGAGATCTGTACTTCTTGTTCTTAAGGACCATTAAATACTATGGGACTCTATGCTAATCACATAATATTTCTGATAGAATCCACACATTAAGGAGTTTTCACTTATCACTGTCAATGGTACTGAGACACAGCAGAAAATACAGTCCATTTCCAAGGACTTAAATGAATGTCTGCTGTTTGTTTTTCAAGAGAATTCACTTTAATGGGTTTACACCGAGAACAAGCCCATTTCAAAAAGTTGCCCTTGCCTCCCCAACAGAGGCTGTCCACAAACTCCTGTCCGGCCTACTATCATTCCCTTGATACAAAAACAAAAAGGTGATTTATAGAGCAGTTTCACGTTCTCAGAAGAAAGGGGAGAGGATGATAGGAATTTCCCATATACCCATTGCTCCTATACATACATAACCTCCCCCATTATCAATATCCCCTACCATAGCAGCATACTTACTCGAATTGATAAACCTACATTGACGTATCATTATTTTCCAAAGTCCATAGTTTTTGTTTTGTTTTGTTTTTCCTTTATTGCCAGGGTTCACTTAGTGTTGTACATTGTATGTTTTGTATGAATTTATAACGACCTCTATACAGAGTATTTTGCTCTAAGAATCCTGTGTGCTCAACCATGCATCCCAGCCCCTTGTATCCTGGCAACCACTGATCCTTTTCCAGAATATCATGTAGTCAGAAGCATACATCATGCAGCCTTTTTCAGATTGCCTTATTTCACATTGTGATATGAATTTAAGTTGCCCTGCTGTATTTTTATGGGTTGTTGTCTCACTTCTATTCAAGGGCTAGATAGTACTCCAATGCCTAGATGTTCTGGTTTATCCTTTTATCTACTTGGTTACTTCCAACTTTCAATAATTATGAATAAATCTGCTATAAACATCCTTGTAAAAGTATTTTGTGGATATAAAGTTTCAACTCCTTGCTCCAAAGCAGGTCCTTGGGAACTTTGTGAAATTTCAGTTAGCTACAGATATGTGGATTTACTTTTAGACTTTCTACTCTGTTGCATTGATCGGAGTGTCTGTTTTTACACAATAACATGCTATTTTGATTACTAAACCTTTGAATTCAGGTAACGTAATGCAATCTGTTTGTATTACCTGAAGATGGTTTTGATTACTTTGTAGTTTGTGTGGTATCAAGTGAATTTTATGATTGTTTTATCTAGTTCTATTAAGAATATCATTGGTGTTTTTGATGGGTACTCTGTCAGAACTGTGTATGACTTTAGACAGTATGGATATCTTAGCAATATTGATTTTCCAATCCATGAATTCAGGATGTCTTTCTATTTTCTATGTTCTCTTAAATCCAATAATTCCGACAACCGTGTTCATTTTTGTTAAAGTGGTTTTGGTCGCAAGTATTTATTTATTATTTTCTTAGAATCTGCACCTCTCTACTTGCATTTTTTTTATCTGTTCATACATGTTTGCACTATCAATTAGACCTCTTGGAATATTAGTCATAGTCATTTTAAGTTTCCAGTATTATCATTCTGACTTTTCTGCCATATCTAAGCCCGGTCCTGTTTCTCTATCTCTTCCAAATGTTTTTGGTTTTAGTTTTTTTGCCAGAAGTGGAAAAGCTGCATCACCTGATAAATGTATTTTTAGTTTTTTGAGGAATCTCCATATTCTTCTCCATAATGGCTGTACTAGCATTCATTCCCACCAAGAGTGTACAACAGATCTTTACTCCATATACTATTTTTCAATTTATAAAAATATATGTAAAGGGAATGAATTTCATATATTTCCCATGTACAGTTGTAAGAACACTTTCTCCCACCTTCTCTTCTTCCTTTTTTATTTTTCTTTTCATTTTTACAATGACTTACTTTCTGTTTACTGTGTAATCACAAGTTTAACCTTCCAGTAAATAGAATTCAGCAAGTAGTAAATAGAAGAACCACTGTTCCTCAATAATATAAAAAAGGGATATAACAATCATCAAATCTTAAAATGTCAACTTCACTCATATAACATTACATTTTTTCATATTAGTTTTGTATAACTCAACACTGAAGCCTTCCATTCCTAGGTTTTCTGTTGTTAGGAGACTTTTTATTACTGATTCAACCTCATTACATTTTAATGATCTGTTCAGGCTTTAATGTCTTCATTGTTTAATTTTTTTTAAATCTAAATGTATCCCCAAATTTATCTGTTTCTTTTAGATTTTTCCAATTTGTTGGCCTATAAGTGTTTATAATATTCCCTATGATGCTTTGTATTTCTGTGTTATCAATTGTAATATCTCCTTTTTGATCTCATATTTATTCAAGTCTTCCCTGTTTTTTGTGCTTAGTCTACCTAAAGGTTTGTCATATTTGCTTATCTTTTCAGAATTCTAACTTTCATTGAATCTTTGCATTGTGGTCTTAATCTATATTTCGTTTATTTCTGCTTTGGTCTTTGTTATTTCTTTCCAGACACAGTTTACTGCCTCCATGAATTGTGTAATTCCTGAAGTTTCTTTAGTTGTTTACTTCTAGTTTTATTACACTGTAGTCAGAGAAGATACATTATATGATTTCATTTTTTAGCTTATTGAGACTTTTTTTGTGACCTAAATATTGGTCTATTCTAGATAATGTTCCATATGCTGATGAAAAGAATATGTATTCTGCAGTTGTTGAATGAAATGTTATCTAAGTGTCTGTTAGGTCTATTTGACTTGTAATGTAGTTTAACCTCTGATTTTTTTATTTTTTATTTTTTATTTTTTTGGACAGGCAGAGAGAGACAGAAAAATCTTCCTTTTTCCGTTGGTTCACCCCCCAAGTGGCTGCTATGGCTGGCACTTTGCGGCCGGCACACTGTGCCGATCTGAAGCCAGGAGCCAGGCGCTTCCTCCTTGTCTCCCATGCGGATGCAGGGCCCAAGCACTTGGGCCATCCTCCACTGCCTTCCCAGGCCACAGCAGAGAGCTGGCCTGGAAGAGGGGCAACCGGGACAGAATCCGGTGCCCCAACCGGGACTAGAACCTGGGGTGCCGACGCCACAGGTGGAGGATTAGCCTAGTGAGCTGCGGCACCGACCCCCTCTGATATTTCTTTGCTAATTTTTTTTCTGTCGGAATGAGCTCTCTATTGATGAAAATGAGATGTTACAGCTCTCTAATATTATTGTATTACGTCTACCTAACTCCTTAGATCTAAAATGTTTGCTTGATAGTATTGGATGCTCCAGCATCAATCATTATTTTATCTTTTTATTGACCTGTTGATCATTTTAAAGCAATCTTTACCTTTTTTTCTCTTTTTACAATTTTTAACAAAGTCTGTTTTGTCTGATATGAACACCGCTGTTCATGTTGCTTTTGGTTTCTATGTGCATGGAATGTCTTTGTTTAATCTTTTTGCTTTCACTCTGTGAGTAACTTTAATGGTGAAGTGGGTTTCTTGTACACGGTATATTGTTGAATGTTTTGTATATTACTCATTTGGCCAGTCTATACTTTTTAACTGGTAAATTTAGTCCATTTATGTTGAAAGTTATTACTGACAATTAATGACTAGGCCTGTCTTTTAAAAATTTATCCTGTTTACTTTTAATATCCTTTGCTTTTTTTCTAGTGAGTTTTACATTTTTACATGTTTCCATCATGGTAGTTTTCTTTCTTCGTTTCTGTATACCAGACTTTCCTAAGCATCTTTGGTAAGGCCAGTCTGCTAGTGATGAATTATTTCAGTTTTTCCTAGTCTTGTAAAGTCTTCATTTCCCCCTCATTTATGAAAGATAGTTTTTCTGGGTAAAGTATTCTTGTAGGAAGGTTGTTTTATTCCTTTAAAAATTTGAAATATATCATTCCATTGTCTCCTGGTCTGTAAGCTTTCTACTGAAAAAATCTGCTGTTAATCTCATGGGGATTCCCTTAAAAGTTACTTGGGGCTTTTATCTTGGAGATTTTAGAATTCTCTCTATCTTGCTCTTTTGAGACTTTGATTACAGTGTGTCATAAGTGAAGATCTTTTCTGTTTGGGTCTACTTGAGGTCTCATGGGCTTCCTGTACTTGTATGTACCTTTCTCTAAGTTGGAGAAATTGTATATGTTTAGTGTGCCTCTACTCCTCTCATCATGAATTCCCCAAATTTAGATATTTATTCATTTAATTATATCCCAAAGATCTTGGGACTGTCTCAATTCTTTTTTATTTTTTTCCTCTTTTGGTCTGAGTAGGCTATTTAAAAATGCCTGTCTTCATATTTAGATATTATTTCTTCTGTTTGATCTAGCCTGTTGGTGAGCCTTTCAACTTTGTTTTATTGTTTTTATTTGAAAGGCAGAGTTACAGAGAGAGAGGGAGAGGCAGAAAGAGAGAGAGAGAGAGAGAGACATTGCCCATGCACTGGTTCATTCCGCAAATGGCTGCAACGGCCAGGGCTGGATCAGACCCAAACCAGGAGCCAGGAACTTCATCAGGGTCTTCCATGTGGATGGCAGGAGCCCAAACATTTTAGCCAGCTTTCTTTGCTTTACCAGGTGCATTAGTAGAGAAATGGATTGAAAGTGGAGCATCCGGGACTCAAACCAGTGCCCATATGGGATGCTAATTTCTGCAGGGGGTGGCTGGCTGGGCCATAGTGCTGGCCCCTCAACTTTATTTTTATTTGACCTACTGAGATCCTCATTTTTAAGATTTATGTTAGTCTGTTTTTCAAGATCACAGTCTCTTTGCTGAATTTCTTATTCAAGTCATGCATTGTTTCCCTGATTTCACTCAATTGTCTGTCTTCTCTTGTGGATCTTTGAATATCCATATAATCATTCTTTTTAATTCATCAGGCAATTAGCCATTCTTTTTTTGGAGGGGGATCTGTTGTTAAAGCTTTATTGTATTCCTTTGTGGGTGTCATATTGCCTTGCCTTTCCATGATTCTGTGTCTTTATATTGATATTTGTGCACTGTTGAATCAGTTGTCTGTATTACCTTAAAAGGATGAGTTTCACAATAGGCTTTTTCCTGTATATGTGTCTT